GCTTCTTCATGAACCTCCTTCCATTCCCATGGGGCTTTTACACTCGTTAAATCGAATAGCGGACGTGCAATACGTGAGAACCCCAGCACAAATTTTCTATAGTAGCTACACATTCCTAGAAATGTACGCATTTCCGCGACGTTCGTTGGCCTCGGATAATTCTGGATTTTCTCTACTTTCGCCGGGTCCACTCTCACTCCGTCTCCTGCAATTTCGTGTCCCAGGAACATCACTTTATTGCTCATAAGGACACACTTCTGAGGTTTCAGCTTTAACCTCGCTTCTCGCAACGCTCGGAGCACTGCTTCTAGTACTTCAAAATGGCGTTCCTTAGTCTCCGTAGCTATAAGTATATCATCTATATATACGAAAACTTCTTTATCGCGCAGACCACCTAGTACTTTGTCCATCAGCCTCTGGAACCGAGAGGGAGACGTGCACAACCCGAATGGAAGTACCTTGAACTGAAATAATCCCTCTGAGGTAGTGAAAGCGCTCTTCCTCTTGGCATCTTCAGACAAGGGGATTTGCCAGTACCCCGACGCCATATCCAGGGTACTGAAGTAGCGCCTTCCTTTTAAGCTTTGCAGAATCACGTCAATCCTTGGTAGGGGATATGCGTCTTGTCTTATGTGTTGTTCAGTTGCCTGTAATCTATGCAGAGCCTTAAAGATCCGTCCTTCTTCTTGACCAAAACTACGGGCGATGCCCAATCCGACTCAGACTCCTCTATAATACCGCGTTCCAGAAGTTCCTTTATCATACCCTTGAACTCTGTTCGCGCTCCTATCGGTACTGGTCTGGTCTTCTGACGTATGGGCTCAGTATCTCCGGTGTCTACTTCGTGCACCACAAGATTCGTCTGCGAGCTCCCGATCCTCAACCGCAAATACATCGTGGTAACACTCGACCAAGTCTCCACAAGTCAGGTTCGTCCGCTAGCCCTTTCTCCCTGTTGTCTCTCAGATACGTATTCAGTATTCGCCACCTTTCTTCAGTCTGGAGAGCAGGTTTACCTACGACCAGCATGTCGTTGGCTTCTCTCGCCGCTACTTTGGCATATTCGGCACCACTTGGCTCCCAAGTGCCCACCTCTTGGTTGACTTTCAACACCAGAGCCTCCGACGTAGCATTCCACACTGGTACTTCGGTTACGCCATCTTCGTCTATAGAACACAACCCTGACAATATCCACTCGCAACATGAATGCAGCATGTGTTCACCCGCATGCGCTTTCCCTTTGAGTGTCACCCATTTGAATTCGCCCGGAGCGACATACGCTCTCCTGCCTACTACGGCCTTATTTGTGTTTTCGTCTTCATAGGGTGCTCCAATGGTTGCTTCCTTGGCATCTTTCTCTTGTCTGGGATAGTCGTCCGAGTGTTGAATTAACACATAATTGAGCGCTTTCAAGGCATTCGTACCCAGAACTAGCATAGTCCCATTCTGTGGACACACATGCATCTGCAGCGTTATTTCCCTGTTGTTGCCCTCCTGCAGCGGCACTTCGACCACCTTCACAAATTTCATTCGGTTTCCTGACGCATCGAAAATGCTCTTGTCCTTGTCCACTGGATGCTCTCGCAGCCTATGGCCTTCCCTCTCGATCCGCTGCAACACTCTTAATGGTACTATCGAGATTTCGGAGCCTGTATCAAGTAACGCGGTTTACTGTCGCCATTGGCTTCTTCCGATACCACATTAGTGGCCCTACTACCAAGTTCTCTTCTTTTCTTACAATCTTTTGCTATATGGCCTTTGCCCTTGCAGTTATAACAGCGCACTCCTCGTGTCTGTTGGCTCTGATCACCTTTATCTTGAGCGGATACCTCTTCTCGGTTAACGCTGACCTTGTTGTTGTCATCTCTCCTGTGGTTTTGTTCTTTCTTGGGTGGCTCCCATGACATCTTTCGCCTCGAGCCCCCTTCGAAGCGATCGCCTCTTCCTTGATGAACGTGCGACCTGGCATTTTCCAAAGTCATCCTCCTTCTCTCCACGCGCATTGCTGCTTGCTTCAGGTTCGCATACGCACTGTA